CCTTGACAGATGCCATCCCTTCAGTAATTTTTATATTTGTCAGTCCAAACCTATTTCTGAATCTGTGTAACCATCTTTTACTTGCAGTAAATGGCTTGGTGCCACTCATTTCAGGGGATCCTTTGCTAAAGTCTTCATATAGGCTCAGTGCTTTCTGATGCAACATGTTGCTGTCAATAAGAACACGTTTTCTGTTCATGTCTTCCACCCAGTGTTTCTTCCATCTTAACTAAGCACTTGTCACACACTGTGGCCATAACTTTTGCAGTTTAAGATGCGACAGCCTATCTAGCACTTATTTCTTTTTCCTTCTTCACCATTTCACTGGTAGAAAATTTGTTCTTATTGTAGATTTTAGCAACCTGGCATACGATTTTTTTTTTTCACTTTTTCACTTAAAGAAAGCCCTTACGGCTTCTCTTTGGCATATCCAAATTGCCAGCTGCACTACTTTTGCACTTTGGGATCATTATTAAGTAAAATGAGGGTTATTCAAACACAAGTGCTGCAGATACCGTGACAGTAAAATGGATAACCAAGATGGGTACTAGGTGACTAATTGTCAGGGAGCATCTGCAGTGTGGATACACTGGACAAAGGGGTGATCCACGTCCTGGGTGGGACAGAGCCAGACAGCCCGAGATTTCATTATGCTACTCAGAATGGTGTGCAATTTAAAACTTATGTATTGTTTATTTCTGGAATTTAACTTTTGATGTTTTCAGACCGAGGTTGATCATGGGTAAGTGAAACTGAGGAAAGTGAAACGGTGGGTAACTATATTTTGACTTCTACCTCCATAAATTGATTTTGGCTGTTCTCAAACTTCATGAAAATGAAGTCATAGTACATGTATTCTTTTGTGTTTGATTTCTTTCATTCAACGTTATACTGTAACTTATACGTGTCGTTGAGTAAAGAATTTCACCCATTCAACTGTTTATGGACATTTGGGTTGTTTCCCGTTGGGGGCTGTTATAAATAATAATGCAAGGAACAGTCTTGTGCATATCTTTTAGTAGACATAAGTCCTCATTTCTCTTGGGTATGTACCCAGGCATGGGATTGCTTAGTCATAGGCTATTCATGTATTTTCTTTTAATAGGTACTGCCAAACATTTTTCCTCAATGGTTGTACCAGTTAACACTCCTAAGTTCCTATGCTTTCAAGACTACAGCTTTCCTCTGTAATATTTTTATTCTAGGTTGGTGATGCTAGATAATGTGAAATGTTGAGATATATGCCAGCCCATCTCAGACTATACATATACACATTCATATTTTACATTCATTCAGTATGGATTCAGAGGTGGAAATTTGCCTTGTCATATGCTTGGAGGTTTAATACTGAAAAATTGCCCTTAGGAATTAAAAAGAAACTGCTAGTTTTTAAAAATATAATATTAAGCACACTAAAGTTTAACTATTGAATAGATGTCTGGCTTTATGGCTTAGGAGTGAGCATGAATCTCAACTAAATATGGTATTCAATTCATAGAGTGAAACCAGAAGGGGGAATTGACTCAGGGAAGGTCCCTTGGATCCTGCCTCTGTCATCATTCATTTGCAACAGGCTGAATTGCATTTTATTGTTGCTATTTTCTCTTATTCCTCCTTGATTCCTTTGAAAGGAAGTAATAAGTCAATATATTAAATATTAAACACTGCTTAGAATCCTTAGAACTGAGCATTTTAATTGTATCAAGTGTTGATCAGCATAGGGTCAAAAAAGAATGGAAACTTAGAGCTTCAGTTTCTTAGTTCACATATGGTTAGTTCAAGTAACCTATGCATGGGCTGGAGGGCAGTATAAGTATTAATAATAATAATATTCCTGATATGAGAAAAAGAACTGTCAAAGTAAGGATCTCTTAAAATCAGTCTAGAAAAGCCTGTTAGGCTGGATTTTCAAATAATAGAGTTCTCTTCCCTTTTGGACAAAGCTATATTAATCCATTCATTCTTTATCACTCATTTGCACAATGATTCAACAAGTACTTATTGAGTACCATGTGCCAGGCCCTGTTCTAGATAACTAGGCATGCAGCAGGGGGAAAAGTAAAGGCCTTATTCTCATGGTGCGTACCTTCTCAGGAAGAAAAGAAGCAAGAAAATACATACGTATGTCATGTGGTACTCTGGAGGAAAATAAAAACAGAGCAAGGGGTAAGGGAATGTTGGCTTGGTGTTGGGAACTGCTATTGCTTTTTGAAAGGGAAGGTTAGGGAAAGCCTCAGTCAGTAACATTTGTGCAGGGACCTGAAGGGACTGAGTAGTGTGGATATCCACTGGAAGAAGTGCATGCCTGGTGGGCTGAAGGGAAGTAAGCAGGCCTCAGCAGTTGGAAGAGAGGTAGTGAGTAGAATAGCTAGAGGTTAAGTCAGAGGGATGGCAGGGTCTCAGATCAGATAGGGCTCTGTAGGCCATTGTAATGACTTGAGCTTTTTCTCTGAATGGGAATCTACTGAAGGATTTTGAACAGAGAAGAAGTGATTCAAATATTTTTTTATGGATTATCTTAAATATTGGTTAGATAATTTAGTTGCATGGACAAGGGTAGAAACAAGGAAACCAGCTAAGATCTCTAATAGGTGTGTTCAGGCAAGAACCAAATAACATAGACATTTTATTTTGTGGACTTATCACCATCACTGTGCTTTATTAGTAAGAGTAATAATTATGTTTATTCAGATGTGGATGAACAATGTCTGGCACATTTGAGCCACATTATTAATAATTTAGCAATATACAAATTAATAATATGCTATGGATGTTATAAAGTAAGTTCTTTATTTAATGCTCTTTTTTATTTACCTAATACAATTTTTTTCTGGACACTCTTCCTCTTCTCTCCCCTGTTTTTATTTAGTAATTTGTACCATTCTTTCAGCCACTCACACTTGAACATTAGCTGTATGTGACTCCTCTCCATCCCGTGCACATCCAGGCAGTCAGGTTCTGTTGTTGCCTTGCTGTCTCCCAAATTCATCTCCTACTTCTGCCATTCCCAACTTCTATTTTGGACCCTCCTTTCATCTGACAGGTAGCCATCAAATTCTCCTTCTCTAATCCATGTGAAATTCAGCAAACAGAATATAGGCTTTTGAAGTGAGACCTTAATTATGATTGGTTCAGATCTTTGTTCTTCTGTGTGCTGGCTGTAGGGCCTTTTGCAATTTTTGAACCTCAATTGTCTCTCTGTAAAATTAGCCAGAACGATATCTAATTTATATGATGACAATGAGGATTATGGGGGACTATGGAGTGTTTAAAGTACCTGGCAACAAGTTGGCACTTAGAAAATGTTGGTTCTTTCCACCTGCTGTTATTCTATTTCAGGCACTCTTCATTTCCACACCTCTAAATGTGCTCCGTCCCTATCTCAGTAAATGATACTTCCATCCACCCAGTTTAAATAAAAAAATCTATGAGTCCTCTTTGAATAATCTATTTCTCTCATCATCTAAATTTAATCTATCTGCAAATCCTATTGGTTCCACTTCTAAAACATATCCTGAATCCATCTACTTCTTCCTATCATCACTGCTACACCCCTAGTCCAAGAATCTCTTGTCTGTACTGTTGCCACAGGTTCCTAATCCATCCTTCTGCCCACACTCTTGTCCTCTTTCTGCCTATTTTCCACAGAGCCAAAGTAGCATTTAAAATATAAACCAGATAATTTCAGTCCCCTGCTTAAAACCCCCCAGTGGCTTTTCATCGTTCTCAGAATGAGATTCAAACATTTTTACTCCTTCAGAATACTCTCCCCCTTTTATACTTCAGCTGCACTGCCGTTTTTTCTTTTCCTGCTAACTCATCAAACTCATAGCTACCTTGGGCCTTAGCACGTGCTGTTCTCTCTGCTTGGCATACTCGTTCCCCAGAAGTCCACATGACTTGCTTCTTCTTGTCACTTAGATCTCAGCTCTAATTGCCTCCTGCCTTCTATCAGTAGTGCTCCATTATACCATCCTATTTTATTTTTTCTAAGGCTTACCACTATCTGAAAATAGCCCATTTATTTATTTATTTTCCCCCAGTAATAATTAAACACCCTCATGTAGGGTCCATTTCCTAGCACAGTGTCTGACACACAGTAGGTATGCAGAAAAAAAAACCCTTGACCGACAGAATAAATATAAACCACTTTTAATGAGCTATCAAGGTTTTATATTAATTACATAAGCCAAGAACGGGGTTTTATTTTTAAAATATGAGGACTTTATTGGTTTTCCTTTAGTCCCTCACACCTCACACATATATCTGTGCTGGAAATATGACTGTAAATAAAACAATAGTAATACAATCCCAGGTTTTGTTTTTTTCCCTAATCTTCTGAATAGTTCTCAAATTTACTCTTCTCTCCGTCTCCTCTTCCACACTTCCACTTTAGGGCAAATTACCATCCTCTCTGGCCTTTTTCCTGTAGGTTTTAATCTCCCAATGCTCTCTTCTCCAGACTGCAGGCCAGTGAGCTTTTCAGTTGCTAACATACCTATGCTTGAAAACCTTTGTAGTTTTCATTGTTCTCAAGGTAAAGACCAGAATCTTCTCTGGTCCACCACCTCATGTCACGTCAGCCCTCACTCTCCACTCCAGGCCACACTTCCTCCTTCCCTCCTGGTTCCCGCCTGCCACCTCGCTGGGTAGCCCTAGCTTCCCGCTTCCTGCAAGGTTCTACACCGCACCCATTTCCCTTAATTACTCGGATTTCAGAATGTCTCTTCCTCGGGGAAGCCCTCCCTGATTAGGCCAAACCTCACTGCCAGTCATACAGCCCACATCACAAAGGGCCTCTCTTTTAGGGCTTGTATTTGTTTTATAATTACATACTCCTCAAAATGATAACCTTATTTAACTGCGTTGATGCGAACTTGGGCTGAAAAGCTATTTGCGGAAGCACTGTATTGACTAGCGGCCCAACCACTCCTCGCCCCGCCCGCTACGGCTTCGGCGCAACTATTACGCATTAAGCAGGCGCCGCGCGCACAGATATCGCAGGCGCCTGCGCAAAGGGGCACGCATGCGCAGAGAGGTGAGCTCGCTGACAGATTCTTGGTGGTGGCGGCGGCCCTGGACTGCGGGGAATGGGAGTCCTAAGGCCCTGACTGAGCACCGCCCCCGCCTCCCTGTCCCCGACATGGCTCAGGAGAAGATGGAGCTGGATCTGGAGCTGCCTCCGGGTACGGGCGGGAGCTCGGCGGAGGGCGGCGGCACTAGCGGCGGCGGGGGCCTCAGGAGGTCTAACAGCGCCCCCCTGATTCACGGCCTCAGTGACACTTCGCCGGTGTTCCAGGCCGAGGCGCCGAGCACCAGGCGGAACAGCACAACGTTCCCGAGCCGCCACGGCCTGCTGCTACCGGCCTCCCCTGTCCGCATGCACAGCAGCCGCTTGCACCAGATCAAGCAGGAGGAGGGCATGGACTTGATCAACAGAGAGACGGTCCACGAGCGGGAGGTGCAGACCGCAATGCAGATAAGCCACTCCTGGGAGGAAAGTTTCAGCCTGAGCGACAACGATGTGGAGAAATCCGCCTCTCCGAAGCGCATCGATTTCATTCCTGTGTCACCAGCACCGTCACCCACTCGGGGAATTGGGAAGCAGTGTTTTTCACCATCCTTGCAAAGTTTTGTGAGTAGCAATGGATTGCCTCCAAGCCCTATTCCCAGCCCAACGACCCGATTTACTACCCGGAGAAGCCAGAGTCCCATCAATTGCATTAGACCAAGTGTTCTTGGACCATTAAAAAGAAAATGTGAAATGGAAACTGATTACCAGCCAAAGAGATTTTTCCAGGGCATCACCAACATGCTTTCTTCTGACGTTGCACAGCTGTCAGATCCCGGTGTGTGTGTATCTTCGGATACCCTTGATGGAAACAGCAGCAGTGCCGGATCTTCTTGTAACTCACCAGCGAAAGTCAGCACTACCACCGACTCTCCTGTGTCGCCCGCCCAAGTGGCCTCTCCATTTATTCCACTAGATGAACTTTCATCTAAGTGATTCACCCATCCTGAGACTGATTTTTTGCAATGGAGAGAGAGAATAATCAAGTTGGAGCAAGCACTGAACTTTGTCAATTAATTTGAGGCTATTTCCTATTTGACCCTTTTTCTTTTTTGGAATTTCCTGATATGTTGTTATTCTAGAGAACTTATATGTCAGGTTCCTGCGGATACCTTTGAATTCAGTGTAGTAATATTTTCAGACGTTTTCCCAATAAGTGTGTTGAAGCATACATCTTTATGCTGCTAATATGTCTAAATACATATGTTATCCCTTGATTTTTTTAAATAATTGAGAGCTCTATTTATTTATGGGATTATTAAGTTCTGATGAAAATATAAATGTTGAATTAATCAGCATAGTAAACTGATGTTTTAAAATTCCATACTTCATGCCCACACTAATTTTTGATGTTATTTTCCAGTGATTGCTAATTTCCATTTGATGAAAAACAATAACTTACCTATTTACAGCTTTTTAAAAATATATGTTAGTTATAACATATCAATCCAGTGGTTGTCTATTTTACCCAGGAATTCTTGAATATTTAATTTTCTGGGTACCGAAGTGTATGGAGGGGGAATGATAAAAGAACAAATTATAAAAGTTTGCAACAAATCTTTTAAGTATATAAAAGTAAACGTATTTAAGAAAAACGTTTTTTAATGAAATTTTAATAGTGATTCTAGTAAGTCATACAAATATAACCTGTACAGTAAATGAAATTTTTCTTTTTTTCTTTTGTTTAACCAGAAAGTGCATTCTCTTGGGTATAATCCTAAAGCGAAATGGGACAGTGCCTTGCAGTCTTAGCCCACTGTACATAGGCTCAGGTTAGGCTCTTTGTACCATTGCAAACTTAAAAGTTTTTCACATGTAGAAAATGTGTGGGAAGCCTGTTGAACTTCAGCAGAGCACCCAGGCAGACAATATTCTCAATCATTAATATACTTTAAAATATTCAGTCGTGCCTCAGTTCTGAAAATTGTTGCCAACCAGGAGCCAGAGCAATTTTTGGCTGCTTTTCTGCTCTTCCCATCTGTCACCTTCCTGGTTTTCCCTCGCTCAGGAAGGAAGCAGCTGTTTCCTTGCCAACAAGTCCTTGCTCTTCGTCTCCTACCAAACTAGTGCACCATCTATTAGACAAAGGTACAGTGTGACTCGGATTTTTAACAGTGAGCAACAACAGGACTCTGAATTGTTTAACCTCTGTGGTTAAAGCTACAGCTTGAGTCGACTGCCTTGGTGATGTCAGTTAATTAAGGGTCGATGATTTGCAAGAGAAAATCAATAAAGAGTCACATAGGTAAATCATTATTTAACTTAGATTTTGTTAAAGGTAGAATCGTGGAATGTTCTTTTCTTTGCCTTTTACAATTAAGACAAAATAATAAGAATAGCAAATGTTTTTGATATTACACTTCCTTATACCTCATATATCTTCCTTAATTAGATAGATGGATAAATAGATAGATACGTAGATAGTTACGTAGGCAGACAAAAAGGGAAGGGGAAAGAAAATAAAAGACTCAAAGTGAGACCAAGACAAAAGCCCTGACTTACTTTTTAAAGTTATTGTCTATAGAGACTTTTAACAATTATGTGAACTTTTTACAACTATGAGAATAAATGGAACTGGTCAACTCTTGACAGTTGCCTCAAGATTCAGTGAAATTATATCAAGAGTAAGAATGTATCCACAGGTTTGAAATTCTGTATTCTGGGTAATAGTGTTCATGTGCTCCAGTTCTAACTGCGTTCCTCAAATTTAAACCTGTATATCCATCTTCTTGTTGGGTACTTTGGCCTGCTTCCAGAGGTACTTTAACTTCAGCATCTTCAAAACAAACTGTATTATCTTCTCAACCTGTTGTTGCATTAACTACATTAATGTCATCACTATCTAATTTCCTAAACTAGAAACCATGGAAGCATCTTTGACTTTCCCTTTTCCCTGTCTGTCACATCCCACTTAATCACCAAGTCCTGTCACCTTTGCTTCTGAAGTGAATCTCAAATCTCTCTCCCCTTCTCTATCTCTATTGCTCCTGATTTAGCTTAAGTTCTTGCCCAAGTGGTCTCCTAATCTTTTTACTGCCCCTTTGGTGCAATCTTCACACCCTTTCCAGAGTGATCTTTCTAAAATATAAACTTGATTTTTTTCACTCTCTTGCTTGAAAACTTTATGTGCTTCCCTATTTCCTCCTGTTCAGGGAATGATTTCCTTAGCCTGATACAGAAGGTCCTTCGTGATGTGGCCATATTCTAAAATAGCTTCAATCTTTCCTCGTCTCCCAACAGCGCACATCCTTCCTTCTTACTCTGCAAGCACCAGACCACTTGATACTCTTTAAACATGCCATATGCTTTCACATGTCCATGCTTTTGGATAGGTTCCTTCTCCCTAAAATGCCATTCTATCCTTTTCAACCAAGCAAATGCTTTTTCCTTTTTATTGTGTGTCGATTTAACTATGAAAGCAATGTATACCTGCCGATTATAAAGTATTTAAACAATCTAGATGTTTATATAGTAAAAAAAAATGAAAGTCTGCCTCTTTGTAAAATTCATCTTTCTTTACCATGAGTAACTTCTGTTAACAGTTTGGTATATAGTGTACAAGATGTGTTACTCCACATTTCCATGTATATATGTATATAAATGCAGGTAACCAACATGTCATTGTTACCTCTCTTCCGTTTTTTTCCCCCACAGCTAATCATTCATCAAGTCTTATTGATTTTATCTTTTAGAATTTTTCTCCGTATTTCCACCTCTACTGCCACCTTGATCTAGGCTACCATTTCCCTCTTGAGCTTCTGAAGCAGCCTCTTAACTCCCACTCGTGCCCTTCACGCTCATTCTGGTGATCTACCCATTCATTCTCCATACAGCGGCTAGAGTCATCCTTTTAAAATTGCAGATCTGATCCTTCCATCTCCCAGCTTAAAGCTTTTCATTTGCTTCCTATTCTTAGGAGTGTACTAAAATGTATCAATTCTGGCCTAGGAGGCCCTGAGGGATCTGGCCCTTCCTTGCCTCTTCCCTTGTTTTCTGTGCTTCACCCTCACTGGCTTGCTTTCTTCTGCTTAAATATATCATGTTCTCTCCTTTTTAAGGTCCTTTTACTAGATCTTTTTTCCCTGAAGTTGTGGAAGCTTTATTTCTGTAAGCTTATTCTTCTGTGTAAATGATAAGTTTTAAATTAGATAGGGTCTAAGAGTTTATGTGGACAATTTACATTATCATAGTATTGGTCATAACTTCAATCATTACTCTGTAGAATGTAAAGGCTTAGCTCATATAAGAATTATCCTTCAAAAAACATTTACAAGGTATTAGTATTGCTAATCTATAAACTGTGCAAGAAGTCCTAAAGCAAATATCCACATTTATTTAAAGTACAGTTCGTCATCTATAATAAACCTCTGTGGTGTATTTTCCTTTATTGTGTTTGTTAAAAACACACTATAAGTGGAAGAAATAATTAATAGTCACTAAGTCCAAGGCTGCTCATGGCAGAACCTTTAAGTAGACTTAAAAAGATTGATTGTGGCCAGGTGTGGTGGCTCACGCCTGTAATCCTAGCACTCTGGGAGGCCGAGGCCAGTGGATCGATCGTTTGAGCTCAGGAGTTCGAGACCAGCCTGAGCAAGAGCAAGACCCTGTCTCTACTAAAAATAGAAAGAAATTAGCTGGACAACTAAAAATATATAGAAAAATTAGCCGGGCGTGGTGGCGCATGCCTGTAGTCCCAGCTACTCGGGAGGCTGAGGCAGAAGGATTACTTGAGCCCAGGAGTTTGAGGTTGCTATGAGCTAGGTTGATGCTATGGCACTCTAGCCTGGGCAAATGGGAGAGTGAGACTCTCTCAGGGAAAAAAAAAAAAAAAAGATTGACTGTAATCAAGAATAACCTGTATGAGGCTGCCTTCCAGTGATTCACATTTATTCAGCCAGTTACATACCCACAGCAAGAGACCACTTTATTTGGTAGTAAAATGGGGAGAGAGTCAGGACTTACGATGAAAACAGGACTGAGAATTTTTTTTTCTTCTGGTTATGTTTCTAGATTAGTAGCAAAAGTTTGAAGTTCCAAGAGAGGTGGGAGATAAGAATGGTTGCCAGACAACGAACCAAGATGATGTACATTTCCTGGGTAGCATCAGAGAACAGAAGAGTTGGCCTTGGAAAGGAAGTCTGGAAACTATTTTTCTTCCAAAAAAAGCAAAAAGACTAGGCTAAGACATCAGTAAATGTTGAACTGATTTGCTATTGCAGGGGTTTAGGTGTATGGAGGAATGTATATGGAAAGCAGGAAGAATTTGAATCTGATTTATCTATTTTTCAATTATTGAGGAGTCTAGGATATTCGAGAGTAGGGACAGGAGTGGATTTGGAAGCCCGAGTGAAATAAAGGTTTATTATTGCCTCTATGAGAATCTAAGGAGCGACTTAGGGTAACTAGAAGATTTATTAGGCCACATTGGATGCCAGGTTGCAGTTTGATGGTAGGTACAAAAGAAGTGGGTTGGATTGACTGGGTTTGGGGATTGGTTAAGTGCGTACTAGGTAAAGTCCAGTTAAGGGTTCTGCTGAAAGTGTGGTTTAAATGATTGGCGGAAGCATTGACAATGGTAAAAGAAGTCAGCAGAGGGTGATGAGCTAGGCCACTCTACTTTTTTCCGGGTTTTACCTTATAATCAGCTATGACAAAGTGTACAGGGTTCTCACTGTAGTAGTTTTGCCCATGGCTAATTTTGTTTAGAGAATCAACCCTAAAGACAAGCCTCGAGTTCCACTTATTTGATAAAAATTTTGTGTTAGATTGCTCACTGTAGCCAAGACAGAGTTCTTTGTGCCTTCCCTAACTTGCCATCCAAGTAAAAAATTCTCTTAAAAGTTGAAATGACCTTTATATAAAAAGTAATAAAATACTTGCTATGTGTCAGGCACTGTTCTAGGTGCCAAGCAATGTATCAGTGCATTTAATCTATCATCATGGTAAGTGCTTTTGTTATTCTCATTTTATAAATGAGGAAATGGAGGCACAGAGAGGTTAAGTAACTTGCCCAGGGTTTTAGAGCTGGGAGGTAGGCAGCGTATTGAAGTGGTTAAGAACACAGACTGTGGAGCCAGATGGCTGTGGTGAGGATTGAATGGGTCAGTATAAGTAAAGTGATTACGACAATGCTGGGCAATTTTTGTCTCCGTGTCAACTGTCCTTATTACTGCAGTGGTGGTGGTGACGATTGTCATTACTGTTGTTGCCTAGCTTGGACTTGCTAAGGAACCTTTTCCTTATCATCCTTGACTGACAAATCTCCCACTTTCGCACTCAATATGCTCTCCACCCTTCAAGACAGCCTATCCTTTTATAAGGTGAGT